GGGTCTGAGGGAGGAGGGGACTGGGGGCCTAGACTCCTGGGTCTGAAGGAGGAGGGGGCTGGACTCCTGGGTCTGAGGGAGGAGGAGGCTGGGGGCCTGGACTCCTGGGTCTGAGGGAGGAGGGGACTGGGGGCCTAGACTCCTGGGTCTGAAGGAGGAGGGGGCTGGACTCCTGGGTCTGAGGGAGGAGGGGCTGGGGGCCTGACTCTTGGGTCTGAGGCAGAAGGCCAGGGACCAGGTCTGAGGGCAGCTGTCCAGGAGTCCAGACCCCATTTCTCAGGAAGCCCTGTGAGGCTGACTCCTGGTCTGTGCATCTTTTGTAAACATCCTGGTGGGAGCTGAGTGGCCCTGGGCTGCCTCCGTCAGAGATGACACAGGTTAGAGGGGGCTCAGCAGGGGGCCGGGGGTGGGGGGTCATAGGGGTTGTGGGGCTGAGGCCAGCAGCTGATGACCATTTCCTGTGTCAACATCATCTGGACCCACTTCGCAATTCCCGGGATTCCTCAGGGATCAAGGAGGGGGTGGGGGGCGGGGCTGCCGGGCCCTGGACCGCCGCTTGGGACTGGGGGGGCCCCCGCCGTCACGGCCCTCACCGCTAATGACAGGTTTGGGTTGCTTCTGCGGCCTGCCTGCCCCGTCACCCCCCAGAGGCCAGACAGGACCCCCCAGGGATAGACAGACGGACACACACAGCCTCGGACCTGCTGACCTCACACCAGCCAGCCCTACCTCACCCAGGGCCAGCACAGGAGAAAGGACCCCCAGCTCCCCACTCATATTCCAGTGGCATCTTCCCTCACATGCGGGACCCTCCGCGCAGAGCCTTTGGCACTATGTCTCCCCGGTCCTTGTCTCTGAGCCTCTGAGCGGGTTTCCTTAAGGCTGCTTGTATCTGTGTATCCTAGTGTTTCACAACTTGGTCTTTTGCTCACCCTGGGTGTCTGCATTACAGCCTCTGTGTGTATGTGTCGGTGTCGTCACTTTTTTGTGATTCCCCAATCCTGCCTGTCAGTGGGGGCACCCTGTGCCCTCTTGCTCTCCTTGCAAAAGGAGGAGCCCGGGCGCCCCCCCTCCCCACCCTGGGGAAGACCCAGGATGCTGAGGAATCCCCCTGACCACCTGCGTTACCCACCCCATCTCCCTCAGCCTCCTACAGCCAGGAAGCTGGAATTAGGGGAAAGACGACCCCACAGCCTCAGGGTGCAGGCCAAGGCACGATGGGGTGGGGGGGACTGGCACCAGCCAGGTACGCTGACCCAGCCTCAGACTCCTGACCTTTCCCATAGAGCATTTTCCAAATGGCAGAATGGAAACACCTTTTTCTCCACCTGGGAACCAGGGTTTAAGGCCTGGACACCTGCCATCTGGTTCGGAGGGAGGAGGGGGCTGGGGGCCCAGGATCCTGGGTTGAAGAAGAGGGTCTGGGGTAGCACTCCTGGTTCCTAGTAGGTGGAAGGGGCTGCCAGTGCAGGATCCCTATTGTTGCTCTCAGACTGGCCCCAGGCCCAGTCCCTATCCCCTCAGGCCAGTCCATCCCCCAGGCTGGTGGCCTGAGTCACCTTGGCTGGCCCCGCCGGTCTGGGGGGGGGGGGCTACGTCAGTTCTCCCCTCACTGACGCAGCCTCGGGCCCCCCACACTGACTCAGCCGGAAACAGGCCCCCTGAGGGGCGGAGACCCAGTGGTCAGAGGCCTGGGTCCCTGTGGGAGCAGGGGCTGGGGAGGGCCCCCGGGGGGCCCTGGAAGGGGTGGCCGTGACAGACCCGCAGAGAGAGTTCTTACCTGAGGCAATGAGGTCATGTCCCACCATGGGGGGGCTGTGACCTCACCTCCCTGGGGACGTGAGCCCTCGTCCCCCACCCCACGTGGTGGGGGATGGGAGGGGGAGGACTCTAGCTGCCATTCATCCCCAGAGACCCCTACCAGCTCAGCACAGTTCCAAGAGCCAGGAGGGGGCCTGCAGGGGGACCTTGTCGTTTTGCCTTCTCACTCCCACCAGGTCCTTCGCTGGGAAGGGGGGATGCTCCTGGGGATGGGGCCCTAGACCCAGTCCCTCACTGGCTCTGCCTCTGTCCCCGGCACTCATCAGGGCGCCTATGCTCCCAGGGCTGTCCTGTCCATCCTCCCCCCTCCGCTGCTCCGGTGCCTCCGCTCATTGCCATCTCTGCCCTGTCCCCATCTCCACTCCCTGGCTGAGCCACTCTCTCCTTGTGTCTGTCACCCTCATTACCTTGCCGGCTCACTTGCCATCCCCAGCCCTCCTAGAGGCTGCATCTTTCTCTGGGCCTCCGGGCATGTGTTAATAAAAATCGAGGAAGAGAACTGCGATGCTTCGTGTTTACTGACAGCTGATTGTGTGTCCTATACCTCTACACGAGTGAATTCATCCTTACCAGGCATGGGGGGGGGGGGCAGCAGGGGGATGGGTGCTCGGTTATCCCCATTTCACAGATAAGGAAACTGAGGCCCAAGATCGCACCTCGTCTGGGTGTCTCATGCTCGCTCGCTCGCTCTCTCTCTCTCTCTCCCTCAGCTCTACTTCTCTCCCCACCTTCACGTCCCTGCCTGTCTCCCAGAGACTCTGCTCCTCTCTGTCCCAGTGCCCAGCACCTCCTCTGAGGGCCTCTGGCTCCCTGCCTGTCTCTTGGGGCCTCTGCAACTGTGTCCCCGGTGTGCTTCTCCTGCTGCCTGCCTCCCCTCTCTCTAAACCCACAACTTGCTGTCCCTTTTCCTCCTGGGGTCTCTGTGTGGATCTCTCTGCTCCTGCAGTGGACCTGCTTGATGTCCCGCATCTCTCCGTGGGTCACTGTCTATCTCTGCCTTTCAGACTCCACCTCTGCCTCAGTGTCCCCATATTCTCTGTGTCCTCGCTTGGGTCTCACACTCTCCATCCCTCTCGCTCTCTCTGTCCCTTTGAATGGCTCTGCCTTGCACATCCATCTCCCCAGGGCTGCGTCTTGTGGCTCTGTCCTCGGCTTTCCTTGTCCCTCTCTCCCCAGCCTCCCTACCTCTCTGATGGTCCTGGTCCAGCCAACCCAGACCCCCAGCAACCCCCCCGCCCCCCCCCCCCCCCGCCCCCCGCTCTTGAGCCACTGTGTCTGCCCCTGTGGCGGCCCGGAGGAGGAGGTGGAGGGAGGGGACGCCAATGACCTCACCAGCCCCTCTCCGACCACCCCCCCCTTTCTCTCTTCAACTTTTCCAACTTTTCCTTCCTTGCCCTCCTCTGAGCAAGGCAGCCTGAGCCCTGCGAGGCAGCCGGCTCCCTCTGAATGGAAAAGGCAGGCAGGGAGGGTGAGTCAGGATGTGTCAGGCCGCCCTCCCCTGCCGCCTGCCCCCCGCCCAACCGCCCTGGCCCCCTATATAACCCCCCAGGCGTACACACTCCCTCACTGCCACGGCCCTCGCTGCTCACACGCACATGCCTCCCCTCCCCAGGCCGAGGCCCAGCTGACCCCCAGGGCTCCCCCCCGGCAGCGGACAGGGAAGGGTTAAAGGCCCCCAGCTCCCTGCTCCCTGCCCTGGGGAACCCCTGCCCTGTGGGGACATGAACAGTAAGTTGGTTCAAGTTCATGGGGTGGGGGGGACAGGAAGGGAGGAGGGAGGGCCAGTGGCAAGGAGGGTGGGGAGCAGACAGGCGCAGCTGAATGGGGTAGAAAGAGACAGAGGAGAGTGAGGGAGCCATGGGGGGTGGGCAGAGATGGGAGAGGAAAGGAGATTCCGAGAAAGCAGGCGGCCCCCGGAGATGAGGGGGGCAGAGAGACGAGAGGACGAAGCTGAGACGCGGAGAGATGCACAGGGCAGCGCCAGAGAGATGGAGACCCCAGACAGACAGAGACCGATGCCGGGAGGGGATCCTCGAGGGCCCGGGGACCCCAGGGAGTCAGCGGGGACAGAGAGACGCAGACGCCCAGGAATCCCGACAGAGAGGTTCCGGGAGGGAAACTGAGGCAGAGAGCCTCCAGGAGGTGAGCGCCAAGTCCAGAACACCGACCCCAGCCACGGGGAGGAGAGAGAGAGAGACAGTGGTGCAGACAGGAACGGGAGAGCCAGACAGATGCGGACCGACGGACAGACGGCGGCCGGGGAGGGCCGGGGGGCGGGCTGGGGGTGTGATGCGGGAGCGGGGCGGCCCGGGGGGCGCTGATTGGCTGGCGGACGCGGGGGTGGGCGGGGCAGCTGGGGGATGGGCTGCCCAGGAGCCAGCGGGCCCGAGCCCCCGAGCCGCGCGCCGCCGCCAGGTCCCTCTGCGCCTCCCGCGGCCCCGCTGCGCCCGCGCCTCTGCCTCTCTCCGCCCAGGTGTGCTCCGGGGGCATCGCCGGCTCCGCGGCCCGGCCTTCCGCGGTCCACCAGGGGGTGGGGATGTCCCCCTGGGGAGGGGTCTGGGCCTCCGGGTTTCTGTCCTGGTCTCCTGCCTCTGCTCTCAGTCCGGCTCGGGCTCCGAGGCCCGGGGAGGGGGCAGGTTCTGGCCTGTGCCTCCCCCCTTCATGCCCCGCCCCGGGGCCCAGATTCCGGCGTCCGGGGGCGGACGGGAGACGCCCGGCCAGTCTACCCGCCCCGGGCCGCGTCTGCTCCGACGGGCGGGGCAGCCAGAGCCGGAGAGGGAGAGGGAAGCCCGCCCCAGCCCTGCGACCTGCCCTGGGCGCTCCACCCTGGGACTCAGGACCCCCAGTCCCTCCTCCCTCAGACCCACCAGTCCGGTCTGAGCTCTCTGCTTCTTCCCGCCCCCAGGTGTTTGCTGCCTGGTCCTGGTCGCCCTGAGCCTGTGGCCAGATAGAGCTGCTGCCCCCGGGCCGCCTCCTGGCCCCCCACGGGCCTCCCCAGACCCTCGGGCTGAGCTGGACAGCGCCGTCCTCCTGACCCGTTCCCTCCTGGCGGACACTAGGCAGCTTGCCGCCCAGCTGGTAGGAGAGACTGGAAGGGACGGGCTGGGACCAGGACCAGGAGTGGGGAGGGCTTCTGGGCTACCACGGTGGCAGAAACGGGGGGGGGGGGGGGGGGCGGGGGGGGATGGGGGAGAGGAGTTTGGAGCCTATCTGGAGGATGGAGGGACCCTTGGAGCTGGGCAGGGTCCCCCTCAAGGCTTCTTTGCCCCCACAGAGGGACAAATTTCCAGCCGACGGAGACCACAACCTGGACTCTCTTCCCACCTTGGCCATGAGTGCAGGGGCGCTGGGAGCCCTGCAGGTAAGGGAAGGGGAAAGGCGGGTGGGGGGGATAGGTGAGATCTGAGTGTGGAGGGGGACTGGGGGACAGAGCAGGCTGGTGGCATGTGTTCCTGATGCCCCCCATGCCCTGTGTCCTAGCTCCCAGGTGTGCTGACACGGCTGCGGGCGGACCTGTTCTCCTACCTGCGCCACGTGCAGTGGCTGCGCCGAGCTGGGGGCCCTTCCTTGCGGACCCTGGAGCCGGAGCTCGGTGCCCTGCAGGCCCGGCTGGACCGCCTGCTGCGCCAGCTGCAGCTCCTGGTAGGACCCCCAGCCCCCAGACCTGACACCTAGGCTTGAAGCCCAACCCTAGACTCTGGGCCTGCTGTGAGACCTGCTCTGAGACCTTCAAATCCTGTGGCCCCAAGACCCCCCAGACCCTGACCCAAAGACAGCCTGGAGACCCTGGGTCTACCATCTCTAAACTTCAAGAGCCTAGACCCTGAGGCCTCGAACCTTGAGCTCTGTGTCCCTAAGACCTCAGACACTGGTCATGAGCCCTTAAGACCTGACTACTAAAATCCTAGACCCAGGACCCTGAGCTCAGAAAACTTCAAATACCAGTTCCTGGGCCTGACCCCAAATTCCAGGTCCCACTTCTGAGGGCCTAGCCCTCACCCATGAGTCTCTCAGCTTGGATTGGAGAGATCCCACATCTAAGACCCCAGCCCCAAGATCTTGGACCCGACTCCAGACTTGAGCCCCCAGCCCTTGCCTAGCATCAGGATCCCAGTCCTGACTCTATAGACCTGTCCCCCAAGCCCCTGGACTTGGCTCTGACACCCCCACCTTTCGGCCCCAGTTTTCATTTTCTGCACCCAACATGCTGAGAACTGCCCGCCCAGAAAGCCCATGCCACAGGCCAGAGAAGCTCCGGAAGCGGGCAGCCTGGGCTTCCCAACCCCCCCTCCCCCCAGTTAGTAGAGGCTCCAAACACCCCTTCCCAAAACCCCCACTGCACCCTGGGCCTATTGCTAACCCTCTGTCCTCTCCCAACAGATGTCCCGCCTGGCCTTACCCCAGGCGCCCCCAGACCCACCAGCTCCCCCACTAGCGCCCCCGGCCTCCGCCTGGGGAGGCATCAGGGCAGCCCATGCTATTCTTGGGGGGCTGCGCCTGACCCTTGACTGGGCTGTGCGGGGCTTGCTGCTGCTGAAGACTCGGCTGTGACCCGCCACCGGGAACCACCAACGTCCTTCGATGCCACATCTTATTTATTTATTTATTTGGGGACTGGGGGCACGGCAGCAGGAAAACACCCCCTCCTTCTCTCCCCTTAATTCAAGACGGTCCCTCCAGGAGACCTGGGCAGAGTAGGGGGGTTTCTGTGCCTTATTTATACTTATTTATTTAAGGGGGGGGGGGTGGGAGGCAGGTAGTCTTGGGGACCAAAGGGGCTGGGAACTGGAGTCCTAGATTCTTGAATCTTTTAAGTCTGGCTGCAGGGTTTCCCTGTCCCCTAGCCCCCTGGGACTGGGCAGGAGCATATATTATTTATTAAACAATTACTTTTTGGGTTGGGGTGGGGAGGGAAAGGGAAAGGAGGCTTGGGTTTTTGTACAAAAATGTGAGAAACCTTTGTAAGACGGAGAAGGGGGAATTAAATGTGTCATACACATCCACTTAGAGGTGATTTCTCTGAGGGCTGAAGGTTGGGGGCTGGACGCTGGGGTCCGTGGAGTAGAGGGAGGCACGGACCCTCAGTGGGCAGGACAGCAGAGGGGAGATCGTTGGTCCCCAGGGACCCTGAGCCCTGAGAGGCAGGGTCTGAGACTGCACTTTGTAGGCACTCAATGAATCTTTAATGGAGGGCTCCAGAAGGCCGTCCTGTGCCCTACAGTACTTGTATGTGACAAAGCTGCAAGTTTGATGTCGTTCGTTACGGCGATGTTCACAACAGCAAACCAGAAACCGCCTAGATGTCCAGCCGTGAGGGATGGTTTAATAAATTACACCCGTCTGTCTGATGGGGTGCCGTCAGCATTCCGAGGGGGTGCTCCGGGGGCTGCTTTAAGACCAGAGAAAGCTGGCTACTAACCACGGCGTGATTTGCATTTTGTGTTTGAATGGGTGGATGGATGGATGGATGGATGGATGGATATACAGATGTTTTTAAAAGTCCTAGAACCTGGCTGAGTCAGTAGAGTGTGTGACTCTAGATCTTGGGGTTGCGAGTTCCAGCCATACACTGGGCATACACTTTACTTTAAAAATAATAATAAGGGGGCGCCTGGGTGGCTCAGTGGGTTAAAGCCTCTGCCTTCGGCTCAGGTCATGATCCCAGGATCCTGGGATTGAGTCCCGCATCGGGCTCTCTGCTCAGCTCAGCCTGCTTCCTCCTCTCTCTCTTCCTGCCTCTCTGCCTACTTGTGATCTCTGTCTGTCAAATAAATAAATAAAATCTTTAAAAATAATAATAATAGGGGTGCCGGGGTGGCTTACCCGATTAAGCATCTGCCTTCAGCCCGGGTCATGATCCCAAAGTCCCAGGATCGAGGTCCTGCATCGGGCTCCCTGCTCAGTGGGGAGTCTGCTTCTCCCTCTGCCTCGCACCCCACTCTCGTGCTCACTCTCTCTCTCAAATAAAATCTTTAAAAAATCCTAGAAGGAAATACACCCAAATTTTGACCAGGGTCCCCTCAGGGTGGAAGGTGGACTGGAGTTCTGAGTGACTTGTTTTTATTTGTGCCTGTCTGTATTATCCAGAATTTCCACAATGACCATGTATTTTGCATGACATATTTAAATAAAATAAATAAACACTTTTTAGAGTGAAAGAATACCAGTTGACACCTTCCCCCCCCAAATAAGCCCTCAGAAGGAGTCAGGAATCACGGCTCACTGAGTGCCTGCTCTGGGCCGTGCCTGAAGTGTGGGGCTTTACTTACATGACCCCCTGAATGAGGCATCATGACCCACTTGACCGGTGAGGGAAGGTGAGGCTGGAGGGGGTGTTTGGATGTTGTTCAAGGTCACATAGCTAGGGAGAGACGACTGTGATTCTGCCAGAAGTCTGGCTCCTTCCAAAGCGCACGTCCCTCCCTTTCTTTATAACCGAGACACAAATCGGTTACAAATGGGGAAACCGAGGCCCAGTGTGGGTATGAGTCTTACTCAAGGTCCTAGAGAAAGGTCAGTGGTGAGTTGGGGCTGTACTCGGGCCTCCCTTCTTAAGAGTCAGAAACTCTTTAGTTAATTATCCATTTACAATATCCAAGAGAGCAGTTCCCCCACCCCCCGGCTCCGGAGCCCCCCACAAGGGTCCTGTGTTTTCACTAGTTTGGGTCTGGACTGGGGGCTTCTGAGCCACAGGCCCTAAGCCACATCCTGGAGACAGGAACCCATCCGTGCCCCCCAGAGAGTTCCCAGCAAGAGTCCTACACGTAGGTGTCTGATGAGGTCACAAAGCCCCCCCACCAGAAGGCTCCTCCCCCAAGCCAGGGCTGACCACCCCCCCTCTGCAGGGCCATGGCCAAGCCCTGGGGAAGCTCCACCTTCTGGAACCGCTGAGCTCCCGCACCTGTGAAGCCCAAAGGGCCAGAACGGGTGAGCTGGGGGACACTGGGCTGGCCATGTGCCCAGGTGCCTGGCTCCCTGACCATGTATCTGTGGTGACCCACCTTTTCTCCCGCCACCATGAACCGGTTTCGCAACATCAAGCGCATGCAGCCACTCCAGGGACCCTCAAAATGGGTCCCCACTCTGGGCGAGCTGCAGAAGACCCTCCAGAAGGGCGAGTACCTGCCCCTCCGTCCGCTGCCAATGTTCGAGAGTAACTTTGTTCAGGTCCCCAGCTTCCTGCACCCTGGGGGCGGAGAGGGGTAGGAGGGGATTGGAGACCCCCCTGGGCTGGGGGATTTGAACCCAGGCAGGCATGAGGCAGGGGTGGGGGCGGGCTCCGGTGGCCAGGGGCTTGGGCCGGGGGTGCCGGAGGACCGCTGGAGAAAGGAGTGGTTCCAGCCCCTCTCCCTGGCCCCCCAGGTAAACAATCGAGGGGCCCCCGTGTACGTGCACCACAGAACCAACCGTCTGACCATGGGTGTGGCTGCCTCCCTGCCAGGCCTGGTACTGCCAGACATCTTGCTGATCGCTGAGCGCGGAGAGGGCAAGGAGTGCTCCAACCTCGTCCTCACCAGGTGCCTCCATCCCCCCCAGCAGCCCCAGGCAGTGCTCCCGCCTGATCCTCATCGGGTGCCTCCATCCCCCCATCTGCTCCTGCTCTGTCCCATCTCCTGCTCTGCCATCGGCATCTCCTGCTCCTCCGCCCCCAGGATGCTCCCGCTGGACCTGGCCCACCTCTACGTGCACGACCTGTCTGCCTGGCGCCTGAAGCTACGCCTGGTCACAGGCCGCTACTACTACCTGGAGCTGGATGCCCCTGATAATGAGCTTGGCTTCCTGTTTGACCGCTGGATCCGTCTCATCAACCTGCTCCACGAGCCGGCCACAACCTGGGCCCCCAGGACCCTGAGCACACCAACCATGGGCCTGGCCCATGTGGTACCTCCTGCCTCCACCTGGCGCCTCCAGGTGGGCACTGCCCCCCACCCTGGGGCAGCTGTGGTTCTAGATCTCAGAACCAAGTCCAACAGCCTGCAACCCAGAACCCCAAGAAATGAGGCCGGGTGCCTGGATGACAGAGGAGGGCCTGGGAGCTGCACTCCCGGATCTGAGGGAGGAGGGGCTGTGTGTCGACTCCTGGGTCTGAGGGAGGAGGGGCTGGGAGATGGACTCCTGGTTTAGGGAGGAGGAGGCTGGGGGCCTAGATTCCAGGGTTTGCAGGAGCAGAGGACAGGATCCCTGAGTCCTGGGAGAGGGATGGGCTGGGGTCCTGGAGTCTTGGGCTGAGTAGGTAAGGGAAATGTGGAAACCAGGAGGAGGCCACCCCTCCTCACTGTCCCCCTTCTTGTCCACAGGCCCGGCCCCAGTCCAAACATTCAGGTGAGCAGGCTCAGTGTCCATCAGGCTCTCCCCTGCTTCTCAGCATCTTCTGCACCAGGCGTGGTCTGACCTTCCCCTTCTTCCCTGGCCAAGCCCCCCGCGCGTCTCCCTGTGTCCTCCCTTCCCGGGACCCTGACTCAAAGCATCCCCTCCTCTGCAGTCATGATTGCCAAGCCCACATTTCCTTACAAGCTGATGGCATCTCAGAGACAGAAGAAGACCAAGGTGAGCATGCTGGGCAGGCTTGGCCGTGGAGGGATGGGGCAGGGGTACTGGGCTCCCTCACTGCCCCCCATCCCTCCTCCCACTGTCAGACCCTCAAGCGCAGATTCAAGTCTCAGGCCGTGGGCGATTCTGTGCCTCTCATCTGGTCACGTGCGGAGCATGCTCAAGCCAAGAAGAAACCTACAGAAAAGTAGGCTGGGGGTCTGGCTCCTGGGGGGAGGCAGGGGAAGGCTGAGGACCCGGTGCAGATGCCGTCAGTCACACCATGTGGTCCTACAGGTCCCAACCCAAACTCTACTTGGACACATCTCAGACAAAAATCCAGGTTTCTGGTGAGCACACCCCCCACATGTGTGGATTCCCAAAGTTCTGGTCCTTCGGCTGAAAACTCAGATTACTTTCTTTCCATCCAGAGAAGCCCAGCATTACCATCCGTACCATCTTCAGCATCATTTCCAACACCATCAACCACACACAGTCCTCTTCCAAGGCAGCTATATACTGGGGGCCCAACTCTTGGTTGGGGCTGGGGTCTGGACTCCTGGGTCTGAGTGGGGAGGAGGGGCTGGGAGTTTGGACACCTGGGTCTGAGTGGGGAGGAGGGACTGGGGGCCTGGATACCTGGGTCTGAGGGAGGAGGAGCTGTGGTCTGGAATCCTGGGTCTGAGAGAGGAGGAGGGGCTGAGGCTCTGGTCTCCTGGGTCCTGGGTCTCAAGCTTTCTCTGGTCCTGATCATCCTTCCCGTTTCTCGGCCCGTCTCCAGGGTCACTCATCTGACTCGGAGGTGGGCACAGTCCTCGGAGGCTTAGTGGAGACCCCTGTCCGGTGCATCTCGGAGGACAGCCAGGAGCATTCCCTGGTGGGCTCCTATGACTGCTTGGACGCCTACCTGTGGCAGCAGGATGTTGAAGACCTGATGGACCCGGATACCAGCACCTTATCTTCTTCCTCCTTCAGCCCTGCGCCTGGCCCTCCAGCCTTCTACTTCCCTCATGCTTTGCCCT